TTCGTGTCAAGTTTAATACTGAATGTAAATTTTGCTTTTCGAAAACTTTTGTCGTTCGTGATTTTCGTATCTTTCTCACGCATGAAAACAGACATGAAAACTGGTAAAATCGAATCTCAAAATTTAGTAAGCTTAGTTTTCAAGCTTCTCGAAAAGTAGTTAATTCTCATATGAAAGGAATAAAATTATTTCAATGAAGTAATTAAGAAAACTTTTTCCTTTTAACTCATGACACATTTGGTTTTAAATGTTCAGGGCCTTCATTTCTCAAGTTTAGTTAGTTGATGATCTCCAGGCAATTTTCTCCCTGATGCTTTCAAAGCATTTGTCTTTTTTTTAAATTTTCATTGCGGTAAAAAAACAAACAAAACAATTAGTGCATTTTGATTCGATTTCAATGCATGGTTTTTATTATGGGACACGTTATCTTCATCTCGAATGAAAATAATTGAATATTTTTTTCCCGATCTTATTTTTACCTTTCAGATTCATTCAAATTGGGCTCCCTGGCTCCCTAATTTCGTATTGGGAGCTCCGCTTTTAGACAGTGCCTAAATATATATATTGTTATTTTTTGGTTTGACTGACAAAGGAACATTAGAGTACAAACATTAAATGGTTGCAATACTTTGTACTATTTAGAACTAAATAGCACTAATTACATAATAGAAAACAATAGAATTAGCATAATTTCACAGTATTTAGTACTATTTATTATATAGATATCAATGAAATACCAGGTTTTCTCTAGTGTCGAAAACTTGAAAGCTTTCACCAGTGGAAGATACCATATCTTTCACATGTGAAGATATCGCTGTTGATAATAAAAAATAAAGAAATAAATTTTTTTTGAGCTTTTGTTTTATTTAAGTTTCTATATCTATATAATAAACAGAACATTACATGGCCGCTTGGAGATACGAATTTTATCTTCTCGTGTTCAATTTAGATATCTCACGAGTGAGCACAGCGAACGAGTGAGATATCAATTGAACACACGAAGATAAAAGTCGTATCTCCGCGCGCCCATGTAATATCCTCTATTTATGTTGCACGCCTTTAGTCTTTGTACTCTACCAATTTCAGTACATTATTAAAATGACAGGGCGTTTGCTAATGCAGCGCCTAAGGTATGGAACAGGCTAACCTTAGATATCAGAAATACTAAATCATATGTTTTAATCTAAACGTTTGCTAAGAACTCACCTCTTTAAAGTTAGTCAGGTCTCTTATGGCAAAATATAGGTCCCACCGTGACAGAAGTGACAAAAGCGCCAAATTTGGCAGAGATGTTCCTTAGGATCCACTAAATAATGTTAGAGGGGGAGCMCAACGCAATTCTCACAATTAAGGGGGATTAAGGGGTTTTTAAAATTGATCTTAATTACGAATTGGGCTACCTGTTGTTGGCAGTTTTCAAGTAAAACAGCTCACAAGAAATGCAGTAGTGACATTAATTGACTGAAACTATTATGCTTACTCATTTCTTCGCATATACATTACATAAGGCTTTTGAATATATACTAGTTCCCAGTCCCTTCTCGCCAAAGCTTATTGCAATTCACGTTCCCTTTCTC